GGGGGTGAGGGTGACCCCAGTTCAATCCCTGGTACTGCATATGGTCCCCTGAGCACTGTCAGGAATGATCCCTAAGCAGAGCCTGGAGTAAGGTATGACTGCAGTTGGATGTGACTCTGAAACAAAAATGAAAATGAAAAAAAAAACCCAGGAGGGTTGCAGAATCAGGAAGTTCCCCCAGCCTCTGGCCATCTCAGTGATCTGAGAGCACTTCAGACCTCTGATGGCGAGGGCAGATTGTGGGAAAGACGTCACAGCTTCTGCTTCAGTCTCCTTTAAAATATCCCAATTTCCAGGGAAAGGGAGCTAGTAAAACACAGGACAGCAAGTTATATTTAGGAAGAAATCTTGCAACTTGATAAAAGAAAAGCACAGAACATGAAAACAACTGCCCCCTCAAGGAACGAACACACAGCAGCATTGCCCCTGGTGGGAGGAGAGCTAAGCTCATTACCAGTCAGAAAATGCACATGAAAGCCAGGCTCCTTTTTAAATTCCCCTCTAAATTTGGAAAAAATTTAAAAATGGAACGATTGTGCGGGTGGGGGAGGCTTTCATATAGTGTGAATGTCAGTGTAATTGGTACAGTTTGGGGGAAGACAGTTGGGTAAAATCTTGAAAATGTTTATACTCTGATCTGGCAATCTGCTTTGAGAAATATGTCCCAGGGAAATAATTAAAGATGTGCACAAAATTTACATGCAGGAAAATTCATTACAAAGGTTTGTTTTGTTTTTAAACAATCTTGAAAATTTAGAAGCAACTGGTGTTGTTCAAGATTAGGGAAACACTAATGATAAATTATAGACCCTCCAAATAATGCTACTAATAGTCACAGATTAAAGGTTTTCTGGATGAGGGGATGGGATGAGCCTCAAGAGTGGAACATGCATCTCACATGCAGGAGGGCAGAGTTCAATCTCTGGCACTGTGGGTGGAAATACATCCTCAACTTTAGCTGAGACACTGCAAAAAGAGTCAAAGGAAATAATTCATAATGTGACACCACATTAATTCTTTTAGCAAAATGTTATTGGCTTTCCATAAGCTTGTGACACTATATAAATCTTAGTGGGCTTTTTTGTTCGCTAGTGGTGGGGGTTGGGGGGCAGCTGAAGACCTCTGGGACCCAGCCACAGTCATGCTGAGACCACTCTCCACACACTAGGATGAGCCTCACACATGAAGGAACCGGCAGAGACACCCAGGTGTGTGTGTGTAGGACCCGGGGCTGAGATCTCCAAGTCTGCTCGGTTCGGGGCTGGGCCTCCTCCACCCAGATCCCTCATCTTCCAGTAGCTAGACAGTTACACCTACTAACAGCCGTGTAACCCCATCAATGGCCAAGATCCAGAGACTATAAAACCAAGCTCCTGGAAGTGCACAGCTGCATTTGCGGCCTCTCAGCCTCTTATTGTCTAGTTTTCACTCTCGGAGAACCCCACAGGCTACTGAGAGTATCCTGCCAGCATATATGCCTGACTGGGAACACCTGTAAAGGTGATTAGAGGCTGCCCCAAAAGCCTCCATCCCTCTCAGAGAGCCCGGAAAGCTACTGAGAGTATCCTGCCCGCACGGCAGAGCCTGGCAAGCTACCCATGGCATACTCGATATGCCAAAAACAGTAACAATGATGGTCCTCATTCCCCTGACCCTGAAAGAGCCCCCAATATGCCATCGGACTACACTAGCACATGGCAGGGATGAATGGGATGTTACTGGCACCCGCTCGAGCAAATCGATGAACAATGGGTGATCGTGACAGTGGGGGGTGGGGGGCTGCGCCACATCCCGCGATGCTCAGGGCTTATTCCTGAATTTATTCTCTGGGATTACTCCTGGGATGCTCAGGGACCATATAGGTGCCAGGAATCGGGTCAGCCACCTGCAAGGCAAAAGTCTTACCCACTACACTAGCTCTCCAGGTCCTAAGATAGTTTTGCTGGTGAATGTTTCTCAGAAAGGTTTGCTGTGTTTTAAGTCTGGTTAATTTTGAGTAGTGATTTCATGTGAGACTTTTTCCACCACTGAATTTCCTTCACTGTTTTCAATGGACACATACTGTCTTACAATTTTAAGAAAGGCAAGAGGATAGTACGATAGTACCGGATAGAGCGATAACACAGCAGGTAGAGCTCTTCTTTTGCATGCCACTGATCTGGGTTCGGTTATGGGCATACCTCATATGGCCCCTCGAGCCCCTCCAGGAGTGATGCCAGAGTGCAGAACCAGGAGTGTGCCCTGAACACCACCGGGTGTGGCCCAAAATTAAAGAAAAAAATTTTAATTAAAAAATTTTGAATAAGGCACCTCTCTTGTGCACAGAAGACTTGGGTTTGATCCCTGGCACCACTTAGGGCTCCCTGAGTCCCACCAGGGATGATCTCTGGGTGCAGAGTTAGGCGTATGCCCTGAGAACCACAGAGTATGCCCCTCCACAAAAATTGCTTCTAATTTGTGAAGATGAAGCAGAAAATAAACAAGCCCAGCAGCGTGAGTCCTTGCCCCAGTACAGAGTGCCGAGGGCCCATATTTCAGGGATGACCTTCACCTTGGTTCCTGACATAGAGTTGGAGCTCTGGGGTCTGGGAGGAGCAGTGAGGAGAGTTTCTGGGCTCATCTCTCCAACTCCCATCCGAAGGCTGGAGTAGACAGGGGCTTCTGGTCACTCTTGTTTCTCTGTTGTTTTTATTTCAGGGTCACACTGGGTGATGCTCAGAGGCTGTTCTTGACTCTGTGCTCAGGAGTAATCCCTGGTGTGCTCAGGGTACCAAATGTGGGGTCAGGATTTGAATGGGAATCAGCCACCTGGGAGACAAACGCCTCAACTCCTGTTCTGTCTCCCCAGCCCTAGTCATTCTTTTTGAAGTGGCTCAGCTTTCACTTTAGAGTTGGGGGCCCTGGATCCCTGGCTGGGTGCCCCCCCACGCTTCATTGTTCTTATGCCCACCAACATTCTCTCTCACCGGGTGCCCATATTCTGCTTCTCTTCCGCCCCTTTAAAAAAAAATGACAGCATGAATTTAATCATCAGATTTTAATGCCATTAGCCTGGTCCCTCAGACCAGGAAATGGAGGTGCAGAAAATAGGAGCATATTCCTGGTCCCATTCAGAACCCTGGGCAGACGGAGACGAGCTCCTTGGTGCTAAGTGACAAGCCTATAATGATACAGATTTCAGTACTAGTGGGAATCAAAAAAGCTCTTAAATCCATTTTCTCTCATGGCAAAACATCTAATTTTATTAGCATGACAGCATAGTTCAGGCCCTTACCCACGATTTCTAGTCTTGAATTTCTAACTCAAGTTCCACCATTCATACTCTCTTTTTTTATGTAATTTCAGAAAATATATTCTATAAAATAGATGGATTCTTCTTTCAAGATGAGTAATTTTGAACAAATAGACCCCAAACAGTGGTATATTAGTGGGTTCCTGAAGAAGCAGAAATTAAGGACATAGTCTGCAAATCTTGACCAGGAAAAAATTTAAAAGAATTGATTGAAAATTTAAAAAATAGATATTAAGACTTTGTGACTCACATAGTTATCTATAGTTGAGTTTCAGGGGTATAATGTTCCAAGACCAAACCCACCCCAAACCCACCGCCGGCACCAACTTTCTTCCACCAGTGTTTTCAGTTTCCCTCCCAACCCCCAGTCTGCCCCCATGGGAGCCATATTTTTAAGTTTGGTTATTGCAACTTAGACCTCATGCTTGCAGTATTGTTGGCTCGATGGTTTATATGTGGTTTATATATGTACAGGTACACGTCTGCCACAGATGTCCGTGTCTTAGCCTGTATAACACCTGTAGGCCTCCGCTGAGCTCCAGGCACCGGGCTCACCATTCCCTCCCACCCGACTCTTCGTACTCTCCCTGCTGTTTCTTTCTTTTTCTCCTAAATTTAATTTTATTTTTATAAAGCTGTTCACAATAATTCATTACATTTAATATTCAAATCCCAATCCCACCACCACTGCACCTTCTCACCACCACATTTCCAATGTTTCCACCCCATGCCCCAAATTATGCCCCCCAAAGCTTGCTACATCAGTGGTGTACAGTATGAGAGGTCGCACAGCCGAGAATGTGACGATGCTCACTCCAGGAAATCTAAAATTTAGAATACAATTATAGAGCAGATTCACTCATGGGTGAGGTCTATGTCACTTTCTTCTGGGAGCTTTATTTCTGAGTCTCTGGATCACGGCCATTGATGAGATTATATGGCACCAGGGGCAGTTTGTGGGTGTGACTGCCAGGCTACTGGTAAACTTGGGAGGTGGGGGGAGGCCCAATCCTGCTCCGAGCGAGCGTGGAGATTTCAGTCCTGGGTCCTGCATGCCTGGGTTTTTCTGCAGATTCCCTTGTAGGTCAGGTTGATCTGAGCCTGTGGAAAGTGATCGTGAGCATGGCAGCAGTTGGGTTCTGGAGGTTTTTGGCTGCTGGGGCTCTCTCTGAGTTGCTGGAGGTGAAGACATCCCCGCTGTTTCTTTCTTTCCCTGGTCTTTTCAACTCTATCACCAGGGACCCAGGGTGATCTGGGCACTATCGGATTGCACCCACGCAACCCTCCTGAGGCTTCTCTCCATGCTGTGAAGCCATGATGCCATCAGTACATGTCCCTGGCTCACTTCACTCCATGGGATCATCCCCAGTTCTAGCCGAGTTGTACGATTCCAGCTGCATAGTATTCCCTTGTGTGTACACACCGCATCGCCATGACCCAATTTTCATATTTTTTTTTTTTGCTTTTTTTTGGGTCACACCCGGCGGTGCTCAGGGGTTACTCCTGGCTCATGCACTCAGGAATTGCTCCTGGCGGTGCTCAGGGGACCATATGGGGTGCTGGGACTCGAACCTGTGTCGGTCATGTTGGCTGCGTGCAAGGCGAAGGCCCTACCCGCTGTGCTACCGCTCCAGCCCCGCAATTTTCATATTTTTTGTCACCTTATTTGCAGGAAGTCCCCTGCAGAACCCCAGGCCAAGACTGCCTCATGGAGGGAGCAAATGTTACGTCGTACCCTGGAGGGGAGCCCCTCAACGCTTCCAGCGGCAGGAACGCATCTCAGGGAAGCCTCCACTGGGAAATCCCGATTGTGCACGGTGTGATCCTAGGCGTCTCCCCACTGGGATTTGTGGAAAATGGGGTTCTCCTCTGGTTCCTCTGCTTCCGGATGAGAAGGAACCCCTTTACGGTCTACATCACGCACCTCTCCATCGCCGATATCTCCCTGCTCTTCTGCATCTTCGTTCTGTCAGTGGACTACATTTTGGATTTCGAGCTCACTCCCAGCTATTACTACACGACCATCCCCTTGTCGGTCACTTTCCTGTTTGGCTACAACTCTGGCCTCTACCTGCTGACAGCCATCAGCGTGGAGAGGTGCCTCTCTGTCCTATACCCCATTTGGTATCGGTGCCATCGCCCCAAGCACCAGTCGGCCTGCGTCTGTGCCCTCCTGTGGGCACTCTCTTGCCTAGTGACTGTCACAGAGTACGCGGTGTGCATCACCCACTCGCAGAGGGACTTCTCTGGGCACTGCCAGGCTGTGATCATCTTCATCGTCATCCTCAACTTCTTGGTCTTTGTGCCACTCATGTTGGTGTCCAGCCTCATTCTGGTAGTGAAGATCCGCAAGAACGCGCGGGCGCCCCACACCTCCAAGCTCTACATCATCATCATTGTCTCCATCATCGTCTTCCTCATCTTCGCCTTGCCCATGAGGCTTCTGTACCTGCTCAATTTCCAGGATTGGTCCATGTTCGGGTATTTGCACCACATCTCCCTGCTCTTCTCCACCATTAACAGCAGCGCCAACCCTTTCATCTACTTCTTCGTGGGCAGCAGCAGGAAGAGGCGGTTCCAGGAGTCCTTAAAGGTGGTCCTGACCCGGGCTTTCAAGGACGAGACCCAGCCCCAGCGCCAGGCGGACAGAAGCCATGTGGCCATGATCGAGACCATCCTCTGAGCCTGAGGAAGAGAACCAGGAGTTTGGATCAGGAACCCCGAGCACTCCAGACCGGTGCTGAGAGGAGCAGGGAGGTTTTTCTCACCCCAGGGCCAGATACCTCATCCCACACGCATGTGACCTGAATCCCGCCATGGGTCTCTTGGTGCACTGTGTCCCCAGACAGTGCTGCATGCCCGGACCCCTGGCTGGCTTCTGGACCAATCACAAAACCCTGCCTGTGCCTCACTGACTCTTCCAGCTTGCTTTCCCATGGACAAGCACACCACCTCCAATAGGAAGGCTTCCGGGTGTGTCCCGGAAGTGTGAGGAGGTGTGATGTAGTGCCAACAATGAAGGTTTGGGATCACCTCCAGGACCCCATATGTGGAATCTCACGTCCTCACTTTTGATGGTGGCTGTGAGGTACCCCCACCCATTTGTCCGGAGGGGACACAGAAGCCGTTGGCATGTGTCAATGTTGAATAAATGTCTTTTGTCGCTCCCTGATATGGGATACGGACTACCCAGTTCTGGTTTGCATTTCCCGGTGCGGGTACATGCATGGCTCCTGTGGGTCCTCCGTCTTGAAGGTTGATCATGTGGTGACGAGGCAGAGGCACAGGAAGACCCCTGAAGAGTGACTCCTGCAGCTCACCCCCCCTCACCACCCCCCAGGCTAGTCTCAGAGCGCTCTGTGGTAGTAAAATCTGTTTGGGACCCCTTCTGCTCAGTAGAGATTTAGAAATGGCCCCCAGGCTACAGTCTTGTGAGAAACTGCTCCTTGGAAACGCCATTCCTTCGCACTCTGGTGTCGGGAACTGGATTCCAGGGGATTTTTCTGGAGTTTCTGAGACCAGGAGTGAAATGTTCATACCTGAAGATTCTTGTTAGATTTTGAGGATAAATTCTCACATATGGCTTCTGAGTACAGCACGAATAAACTCTACTTGCTTAAAATTAAAAAAAAAATTTTTAAATAAGCTTAAAATTAAAAAAAAAAAAAGCCCAGAAATGTTCCTACTGCTGGGTTGATTAGCACTTGCGAGCTCTGTGTATCTCTGTCGGAAACCAGGAGCATAAGCCGATGTGAAGGTGTGGCATAAATATTTCAGGATTGTGTTAATGCAAACGCCATGGTCATGCTGACTTCCTGATGTGTGCTTTTGATCTGAGTGTGCCCTTTAGACCTGGGCAGAAAGCTCAAAACAGTCCTAAACCCCATTAAACAAGAATGGAACAAGAAAAGATCATTAAAAACCCTGCAGGCTCATTAGCTCCTGGGAGCCGTTTGGCGGTCGACAGGGAAAGCGGACAGCTGAGCACTGGCACTCCCGCGGGAGGGGCTCAGGCGGCCGGGCACCCCACCACTTCGCAGAGGGAATGGCAGGGCTTCTGGGAACTTGGGAGGATTTCAGCCCCTCCCCAATCTCGCCCTTCATTTCATTTCTTTTCTGTTCCCTCCTTTAGTTCTTGGGCCACACCCAGCAGTGCTCAGGAATCACTCCTGGCAGTGCTTGGGAGACCATATGTGATGCTGGGAATTGAACTCCGGTCAGCCACATGCCAGGCAAACGTCCTCCCCACTGTCCTATTGCTCTGGTCCCTTCATTTTTATAGACCAGCTGAGTTTCGGTTTGGGAGGGTGGACACACACGCGGGAGAGGGTCACCAGCTTGTCAAAGCAGCTGCAAGATCGCTCGATGCCAGGAACTTCGACTTTGGTGTTTTGATGTATATTTTTTGGAAGACCCTCTTCATTGTTTCCCTAAATCACTTGATCACTTGACTTCCCTTTAATCATCGATTTGCTCAAGTGGGCGCCAGTAGCGTCTCCATTCATCCCTGTTGCATGCTAGTGTAGCCCAATGGCGTCTATTCATTCTAGGAACACGAAGAGCCTCAAACCAATCATTCAGGGTCTTGACGAAGAAGTCTGACCATCTTGTAGGTGGGCAGCCATGCGGTCTTTTGACGTCCCATGGAATCCAGTCGGTAATGGCTCTAGTCCAGCGGTCATCTCCAAATCTCATTACGTGTCCAGCTCATCTGATTTTCGACGCCTTAGCAAACAAGACAGCGTCCCTGATTCTTGACCATTGACAGAGGTCGGAACTCTGGATTCTTTCTCTCATTTGAGTGAAACATGATACTCCAAGCATAGCTCTTTTGATTCCTCCGGAATAGTGTTCTCATCCTGTTTTTGTAGGGCCAGTTTCCCTAAATCACGGTCTTCCCATTATTCATCAATTTGCTTGAGCGGGCCCAGTAACGTCTCCATCATGAGACTTCTTGTTACTGTGTTTGGCATATCGAATACGTCACGGGGAACTTGCCAGGCTCTGCTGTGCGGGTGAGAAACTCTCGGTAGCTTGCTGGGGTCTCTGAGAGGGGCGGAGGAATCGAACTCGAGTCGGCCATGTTGGATGCATGCAAGGCAAACGCCCTACCACTGTGCTATCACTCCAGCCCACTTCCCTAAATAGTCGCCTCCATATCTCTTCTCAAGGATTTATATTTTATACGACACTTAGATTTTTATTCGTTGATTTTAATTATATTTTTCAAAAGTGTGGATCGGAAGCCAGCTTCGAATGTACCCAGCCCTGCCCAGCCCAGTATTGGTGCTCTTTTCTCTCTGGTGAGTCGTGCTCACTGGGAAGTGTGGTCTTGCGGGCACTTGTGTGTATTATGTTGTGGTTGTTGGTGCTGTATTAAGATGACTGAATTGCGTTGTGCTGTGCTCTACTGTTTTGTGTTGAATTGCCTCTTATAGCATCATGTTGTGTCACATGGTGTTGTGTGGCATTGTGCTATGTCATGCTGACTCTAAAGGAAAGCATTCTTATAGCTAGAGAGAGAGGACAGGGGTAAAGGCTCTTGCCTTACACGTGGCAAATCCTGATTCAATTCTATCCCTGAGGACCACCAGGAATGATCCCTGAGCATGAAGTCAGGAATAAGGGCTGAACACAACTAAGCGTGACAACCTCCAGTTTTTTTTTTTAAGCTACCCATGACATATTAAGCTACCTGTGACATATCCAATATGCCAAACACAAGTAACAACAAGTCTCACAATGGAGACATTACCACTCAAGCAAATCGATGAACAACGGGAGGACAGGACAGTGCTACAGTGCCTTTTTTTTTTTTAAGATCAACAGTCATCAATAACCTAAAGAATGGAAGTCATTGAGGTCCAGAAAGATGACTTAAGGGACCAGAGCACTTTGCATGGAAGAGTACTGAGTTTGTTCCCCAGCGCCAGCTGGTCTTCTGGGACCACCTCGAGCACTGAGTCAGGAGTAGTCCCCAAGCACTGCTAAGTTTGGGCCCAAGACCCAAAGAAGATACAAATAAGATTGAAAAATGTTGAGAGACAGCACAGCAGGTAGGGTGCTTGTCTTGCACATGGCTGACTCCAGTTTAATCCCCATCACCAATGTGGTCCCCTGGGCCTAACAGGACTGACCGCTGAGCACTGCTTGGTGTAGGGCAACCCCACCCCTACTCCCACCACACACACGCAAAGAGACGTGTTTAGTGTGGTCTGCTACTGCTGACACCACCTTATTCCACCACGGTCTCCCCCAAGGCTACCCTGTTACCCCACAGTGATCACATGCTTACTGCTCCCCCAAAGTACTGGAGCAGAGTGTGATCGAAAACGCCAGCTCACCCGGGATGCTCCTGCCCTTCTGAGAGAAACTTGGCCTCTACATCCCAGAACTCCTCTGTTCGTTGGGTGTTGGGGTGCGCTAAACTAGCCAACCCGCTGTGCTCCCCGCCTTGGGGAGCGACCCACCCCTCCCTTCTGCAAGGTTCCCCACCCTTCAGTAGGTACCCCCAAGCCCATCCCCAGCTCAGAGCAGCACTGGCTCGGGCATGGCGCTGGCCCCAGGGTTGTGCCTGTTGTCCTTCCTGTGACCCCTTTCTCGCCCTGGAACGCTTTCCTGGTTTCTCATAGAAACAACAAAATAGAGAACCCTAAAAGATAAGGGAAAACAGTGTTCAGCATCTGGGTAATTTGCCTCTGAAAATTTTCCCCAAAATGGCCGGGGAGCTAGAACATGAAGGACGCTTGCCTTGCACACGGCTGACCTGGTTTCTGTCTCCAGCACTCCGGATGGTCCCCTGAACCAAGAGTGATCCCAGAACCAGGAATAACCCCTGAGCACCACTGGGTGTGGTCCAAAAATCAAAAAAGAAAAGAAAAAGAAAAATCAAGACATTTCTCCATTCCATTCACATTAGGCCCACACCCAACTCACACATCCAAGACCGTTGGAACTCCGGGGCCCCATGACAGCAGACCCCATCTTGACCTGCTTTCTGAATGTTTTTGGATTTCATTATTTCCCATGAGCAAGGGAGGAGACACATTTCTGTATTACTTCTAGAGCCCAGGACAGCTGTAGGCTTGATTGTGCATGAAGACGCCTTTGGCTTAAACAGAAGGCGGAGAGTAGATGGGGTGCAGGGAATGTCCCGAGAGCCATCCTTTCTGTAGCAATGTTCTGGAAGGTACGTGAATGTGGTTGGGAGGCCAAGCTGGGGAGCTGTGAGGGCTGGGTAGTAGCGGTTCATGCATCTCTTTCCTGGTTGTGTGGCCCCACCAGGCCTTCCCAGGTCTCGTCCCAGCCTTGGAAGCAGACGCCAGTGCCCAGCCAATAGGTGGGCATGCCAACAGGAATTAATGATGGAACCAGAATGCAAACTCTGACCGTGTGACCTCGGAACAGCTCTGCTTCATCTCACACCAATATTATTCCTTCTCCAATTCGTCCGAGATTGCTTTGGCTGTTACTCCCGAGAAGGGAGCGGGGCGGGGGGGGGGGGGGGGGGGGGTCTGACACACCAGGTAGATGACACGAGGATTTATGGGGGAGGAGAGACTAAGAGGTTCCTCCAAGCCCAATATTTTTAATGGAGGTAAGGGGTGCGGAGTGGAGCTCTTAAGAAAACGTAATCCCAGGGTGGCGGGAGGAATACTGGGAATATCGGTGGTGGAAAATGTGCACTGGTGGAGGGATGGGTGCTCAATCATTGTATGACTGAAACTTAATCATGAAAGTTTGTAATTGTATCTCACAGTGATTCAATAAAAAAAAGAAAAAAGAAAGAAAGAAAACAGTCTTCATGTTCTGCCTCCTAATTACCTCCCCCACCCCCGCCTTCCTCCTCCAGCCCAGCTGCTGTCAATTGGACTGGATTGGACTGTTACGGTTAAACTCTTTGGAGGGGGTGGAATGGGGCCCCTTACAGGAATTCCCTTTTGGGGGTTCCGTGCAAGGCTCTCCTTGAAACTGCGCTGCCACTACAGGGCAGTGAACATAGCCTGTGTGCCTGAAGACTCTTCCCA